TTTGTCACCCTTGCAGTTCTGGCCATGGTGTCCTGCATAGAGACATAGATAGTCAGATTAGGGAAGGTCGCAAAGGGTGGTCCAGCAAGGGGCAGTCGGTACTCCAAGTTCTAGATTCAGCCGTCCCCGGTGACCGGCAAATCACTAACTTAGGTCGTGCCGTGTGCTTTTAGGATACCATTTTACAAAAATAAAAAAAAGAGAAAGTACAAAAAGAAAAATAGTCGGTTACCTTTAGTCTGTAAAGATGAAGGCGCTTGGAAAATCTTCGGCGGCTGTAAGAGCAAGTGGTCTAGTAGCAGGCGACAGTCGTTCTTTCTTAGAAAATGACAAAGTTCTCAAGAGTTCTTTCTGAATTTTTTTTGGAAATATCCAAAAAATGATTGGGACATGCCCTATTTATAGTGGGGTGAATTTCAAGGGACGGTAAAAAAAAAAGAACGGTAAAAACCGTTGGCCAAACAGAGTGTGACACCTGTCACAGGCGCCACGTGGCAAGCCACTTCACCCTTGTGAGAGGCAAATGATTATGGGATTTAACCCCACCACGTGGACCAATGAAACCCTGCCACGTGTCATCCACGTGGACCAAACAGAGTCTACCACGTGTCACTCAGTAAAGAGTCCCAAATGGACCAATCAGAGCACGACACGTGGCAGACAGATTGTCAACTTGGACAAGAAACTTACCAAGGCCCATACTCCAAGAAAGCCCAGTCAGTCATAGGTATCTAAAAACCTAGTACTGGGCACGCATTTTAAGACCCTATAAAAGGGAGATGTTCCCCGTTAAGAACACCGAATTCAGAAATTATTAAACACACGTGTACGTTAATTGCTGAGTATTAACTCCAGCTTTAATTGCACTTCTTGAGAGCTAAGGCTCGGATTTCGAGGCTGTCTAATATAGCCGGATGATCACGTCTCTCCTAAGAGGAGCCTGATCCCCCTTTACATTCAGCACTTTTTTTACATCCGAACACGTTCTAACTTGATCGTCGGAGGTGGAACTCCCACCCCCGGGAGTCTCCGTTGTTTTGCAGGTACAGGCGCGTGGATCCAATCTTGGTGTTGTAACTCTACCGCAGAACATCCAAAAAACCCCGAAATAAATCGTTTGCTTAAAATTGTAACCGTAACGTAACCGTAACTGTTAACCGTTTAATTTAAACGGTTCAATAAATTAATCGTTTAAACGAGCCGACTATACCGTTTAACGATTACTGTTTTTTTCCCACCCCAAATACAAAGTTTCCTATGTGACTGTATACACAAAATAAAAAGTAAGGGTTGAAAAGCAAGGGTATATTAGGTATTTGTAGTGTGAACACATATATTTCTTTTTCTAAAATGGATATAGTGCAATATTTGTGAAACTTACTTAAAAAGCAAGTGGTGCAATATTAAAAAAACGGAGGAAGTATATATTTAAAGTCAAATTAATTCATTGATATAAATACCAAGTTTAACTATGTCAATTATTTTAAAACAAAGGGAAATTCTACATGGTGGCCTCATGGTTTTGAGTTTTCTACGTGGAACACGAACTTTTTTCCAGCTCTCTTCAGTGGCACCAAGATTTAGAAAAATCTACATAGTGACGTTTTTTAGGTTTATGGCTAACCTTTTTAGTTAAAATAGTTAACCTTTTATTTTTTTATTAAAAAATTATTTAAATTATATTTTAAAATAATAAAATTTAAAATAAAAAAAAAAACAAAAAACAAAAAACCACCCCAACATTGCCAGCCACCCCATGAACCTCCACTACCTCCACATCCACCACGAACTCCCCGAAAACCACCCCAACCCAACCAGCCACACCGGAAACAACCCCTCTCCCTAGCACCACCCTCAAAACTGCCTTCCCTCCCACCCCCATACTTGAAACAAACCCACAAATCCCCACCCATCACCTTCGAATCCGCCGCGAAACCACCGCCCTCCCTCTCTATCACCATGAAACTGCGCACCGATCTACCCTCAAAACCCAATCAAACCCTAGCCTATGGAAAAAGAGACAGCTTGCGTAAAGGAAAAGAGGTGCTAGCATCTGAATTTAGGGTTTCACGGTGGGGTGGAGGTGGCTTCGTTGGACTTTGTAGTTGTTTTGGGGATCGGGGTGGCGGTTTTGGGGGTCGGGGCTAGGTCTGGTGGGGTTGTGGAAGGACGACCGGCCAGTTTTGGTGGTTTCGGTGGTCGGGGTTGGGCCGGAAGATGGTTTCGATGGTCGGGGGTGACCGAATTCCGGCAAGGATGGGTGGCTGGGAGTTTCTTTGTTTTTTTTATTAAATTTTATTATTTTAAAATATAATTTAAATAATTTTTTAATAAAAAAAATCAAAGGTTAACCATTTTAATTAGGCCAAATTAGAAAATAACACCTGCTAAAACCCCCAATTTTGATAATAACACCTGTTAAAAAAAGAAAGTTTTATTATAACACCTCCAAAAATTCCAAAAATTTGGTTTCACCACCCACTAACGGACTTTTGGATGGGAACCGTTAGTGGGGCCCGCCATGTACACGTGTCAGCTGTTTATTGGTTAAAAAAAAGAAAATAATAAAAAAAAAACTAACCCCCTAACCCAGCCAGCCCCACCACCGGCACCACCTGCCCAGCCAAGCCAGCCGCTGGAACCCTCCTAACACCCAGCCAGCCCTAGAAACCTCCTCCCCTAACACCGACAAACCCTTCCCTAACGCCGGCACAGCCCGATATCCCCTCCCCTAACACCAGCACTGCCCTAAACCCCCTCCCCTAACACTGCAACCCCCAAACCTCCTCCCCTAACCCTTCACCAAACACCACAGCCACCCACAAACCCATCCCCCTTTGCTTTGCTTCCCCTTAAGCAATTACATTTCATAAATGTATTCAATTGATGAACAGCCACCTGATTCGAACAAATTGAAGGGTATCGACGGAGAGAACGAAGCGACGGAGACAGAGGAAAAAGAAAGCGATGGTCGGAGAGAGAAAACGGGGCTGCGAAGGTGCGTGAGGGAGTTGTTGGCGGATTTGTGGGCTAAGCACTGTGGTTGGCTGATTTCTGATGGCGAGTGAGGGAAGTGTTGTGGTCGTGGCTCGGTGGTCAAATGGTTTCTGGATTGGTGGGGTTTCGTTTCTGGTGGTGGCTAGGTCGAATGGTGTTCGATTGTGGTCGCTGGGTTTCGTGTCTAGTGGTAGCTTGGCTGGGGAAGGTGGTGCTGGTGGTGGGGCTGGCTGGATTAGGGGGTTAGGTTTTTTTTTTTTTTAATTTTCTTTTTTTTTAAAACCAATAAATAGCTGACACGTGTACATGGCGGCCCCACTAACGGTTTCCATCCAAAAGTCCGTTAGTGGGTGGTGAAACAAAAATTTTGGGATTTTTGGAGGTGTTATAATAAAACGTTTTTTTTAACAGGTGTTATTATCAAACTCGGGGTCTTTAGCAGGTGTTATTTTCTAATTTGACCTTTTAATTAAAAAGGTTAGCCATAAACCTAAAAAAGGTCACTATGTCAATTTTTCTAAACCTTGGTGCACTGAAGAGAGCTGGAAAAAAGTTCGTCTTTTACGTAGAAAACTCAAAACCATGAGGCCACCATGTAGAATTTCCCTAAAACAAATCTATACTAATATATTAAAACACGTTCCTAAAAATGTCTATACGCCACGTAGACCCCTCATTTTGCCACGTCACTAACTCAATTTCTTATTATGCCACGTCATCCAATCAACATCTCAATGTGCCACGTCATCCACACAACCAACAATACTCCATGCTGTTTCAACTATATTGGAAAAAAAATATGTGGATGAGAAGGTTCGAACACTTGACCTCTTAAAAAAAAGGTTATTGTTTAATCATCTACGCTAATTGTCAATTATGCTTTAACCTTGCACCATAATATTATACTACAAAGTATTGAAGACACATACTACATACAAACTATTAGATGATGCTCTTAAAAATTAGCAGTTACACAACTATAAAAGTAGTACTCCAAGGTAACGCGCGGGCTAATCACTAGTGAATTATTTAAATAAGGTAAAGAACATAGGACCTCAACTGTCAAAACAAGTGGCAAACTCTTGATACTAACACGTGTTTTATGATGTCGGATTGTTGATACGTGTTAACTTTTGCCAGCTCAAACTTAGGTGTGAGAGCACTACAAGCAGTGAGGAAAAAAACCCTCACGAGTAAAAATAAGGGTGTAAAAAAAAAAAACCGAGCACCACGGCAGTGAGGGAAAAAACCCTCAACCGTGAGGGAAAAAAAAAACCCTCAAGAGTTGAGGGTTTTTCTAAATGAACAGTGCACGCGTGGGGCCCACAAGCAATACATTTTCCTTTTTTTTTTTTTTTCTGGTAGCAATGAACAGTACACGAAGCAAAAAAAAAATTAAATGGCTGGCACTGACGCGCGTCAGCCCAGCCAATGGGAGGGTGACACGTGTCAGTGCTTCAGCCAATCAGAATTTTTGTACCTTTTTTACAATGGTTATATTTTGTAAATATTTTTTTAAAAAAAAAATACACCAACGGTCATAAAATTTTTTTCTCTATAAATAGACATGCATTTTGATATATTTTGATATAATTTAAAAAAATCTCATAAATTAGAGAAATTAACATATTCTCTCAATTTCTTCTTCTTCTTATTATTATAATTATTTCTTACAAAAAATTTTTTTTTTTACATATTTTTATTAAATTATTTTTAAACGTAATTAAAAAATAAATTATTTTTACATATTTTAATTGTATTGGAAAATTAATTATGTAGTATAAACAATATTTCAAAATAAAGATAAAATAAAAAGATGATGTGTATTATGGTGGGGTATAGTGGAGGAGTGAGAAAGTGGGTAGAGAGAGATTGATGAGTTTTTTTTTTTTTTCCTCATTGGTGTGGTGAAAAAATCATTTGATGAGGGAAATTGGGTTGGAGGAGTGAGAAAGTGGGTAGAGAGAGATTCAGGAGTTTTTTTTTCCCTGATAGTGGTCTGACATCTAAGTTTAATTCACAGTATGGCCCCTTGTATCAGAAACTCCCATAGTCCAATTCACCATTAGAAAGAGGAGAGAGAAAGAGAAAGAGAGAGAAATTCTGTGCGAAAATTGTGAAGCCATGAACAAAAAACAGAAAATTCAGGACGATTCTAAGGTATGCATGTCTCTCTCTTCCTCCAATTTATATATTTTATTCTTTATGATTTGCTAGATTTCTTTTTTTTTTTTTTTTTTTTTTTTTGGGGGGGGGGGGGTTTATTTTCACTCTTAATACTGTTTGTTAATTGTAAATTGTTAATTGAATTTTCGATTTGCTGTCAGAATAAAAAAAGAAAAGTGCTGCTGTAACTTACATGTACTTAAAATTGGTGATTTTTTTTTATAAATCAGATGAAAATTCTGATGAAATAGCATTATCATTTTTTTTATTTTTTTTTTTATTGTTGATTGATTTTTTCTGGGTAAGCAATTTATGCGTTTAATTTGGTCTATTTGTTGTTTGGAGTTGTTGTAAACTTGTAATTAGCCGTTGTTCATTTTCTCATTGATTTTTTTTTATTAATTTATTTAAAAATTCAAAAAAGTGATTTATCAGTTAATATATATACTTGGATTGAGTCTCTGACGTAATATATAAACAATTTTAATATGTTATCTTAAGTAAAAATCAACTTCAATTAGTATAAATTATTTTAGATTAGCACAAATAAGGTGAATAGATGGAACAAAGCCTTGGTTTTACTCTATTACAGATTGATCATCTATTTGATTTCTACTCCCTATGTTTTACCAACTATTATATGGTATTTTTTTTGAGTCTCAAGGAGACAAAGATATACTAAAATACTCCTTTTGTCCCAAAATAATGTTCTCGTTTTTACTTTTTCATGGTCGAAACTTTTCGGTTTTTGTTGTAAATTATTAGCTATGATATTTAAAGTCTATAGCAATTCAGTTTGTCAGGAATTGGCTGAAGAAGAAGGTAGAATTTTAGTTTGGGTGTAATCTTGAGACCTAGAAAACATGTAGGAGTGTATAACCTTTTATTTTCACTTGAGCTTTACCATGTTACTTTGATCAATATTCCGTACCCAAGCCGGATACTCGAATTGACACTCGAACATTGGATTGACGCTTAGACACTTCATTTTTTTTCATGAACAAGCCGTGTTTCACTGGGACACATACCCATGTTAGACACATGAGTCCGATTTACATAGGCTATATGACAAAATTAATGGACCAGCTATTGATTACATTGCTAAATAATTGAAGAAATCAAAAATCTCTATTTACAATGATTGGATCAGTTATTAACTACATTGCTAAATAATCGAAGATCTCAATTCAGAAGATTGGGTTGGCTATTGATTACGTTACTAAAGAATTGGAGATCATTAATTACACACAATTAGGTTATAGCTACTGGTGTGCCGTTAGACTCTTGCATGGGTGGTGGGCGTGGATACCGAAGAATTGTGTGAAAGGCTATACTTTATGACATTTATGTACGTAAATTTCTTTTGGAGGGCTTAACATATAATGAATTGCGATTTAAAGCTGTATTAGATTTTGCTGTTAGTATATCTTTGCTTAGTTGATCTTGGTGACATGTTGTGCCGTGTGTTCATTACTTGCCATGTGTTGTCTGGCGGTGAATGGATGTCAACTTGAATTGCTTACTTTATGCTTAGACCCAAACGTCATACTAGTATCTAGTGCGAGTATGGACTTTGCTTGTTTCAAATTGCTCTATCTACCCTTGTTTGGTGCACTGGATGTCTTACCTGGATATTCCTGTTTGTCTCTATTCATATGAAGTGTTGATTTTGCATTGACCTAGATTACAAAATTCTTTTGGATGAACTGTGTAACTAAACAACAATGCAATTTTGTTGCTCATTCTCTTGATGACTTTTTACTAGCAGACCTTCACTATCATGTGAACCTACTATATTTCAGCCTCTTTTTTTTAAGTATAATAATTTTAAGAAAACAAATTCTTAAGTGTGATTATACAGGAAGTTTGCATGTTAAGTTTTAAGGTCTGCTAGGTTTTATTCAAAATATCCATTTACATGAATATTTTTAGCTTACTTTGGCATTGGATCAGCTATTAATGACGTTAATAATTGAAGATCTCAATTCATAAGCATTGGTCAGCTATTGATTATGCTGCTAAATTAATAGAGAATTAGAGATCTCAATTTACTAACATCTAGTTAATAGCTACTGGCGTACTGTTAGACTCTTGCTTTGGTGGCGGGAGTGATTATTGGAGAATCGAGTGGAAGGCTATACTTTGCTATGCACATAAGTTCCTTTTTGTGAGGCTTTACTTACATAATGAATTGCAGTTTGAGGCTGTAACTAGATTTTGCTGTTGGTATGTCTTTGCTTAGTTGAACGTGGTGACAAATGATGCTCAGTGTCCACTACTTTTCATGCTTTGTCTGTAGGTAATTTGGATGTCAACTTGAACCACTTACTTTATGCTTAGACCCAAAAGTCATTTAATGTGAGTTACTTTGTTTGCTTCAAATTGGAACCATTTTTGGTGCACTGAATATCCTTACCTAGAAATCCTTATCTGTCTGTTGATATGAAGAGTTGATTTTGCATTGACCTAGATTACGAAATTCTTTTGGATGCACTGTGCTTGAGTAGCATTGCCATTTCGCTCATTCTTTTGACGACTTTTTACCTGCACTATCATGCTTCATAACACACTATATTCCAGCCTTTTTTTAATACAGGAAGTTTGCATGTTAAGGTTCTAAGGTCTGCTAGATTTTGATCAAGATATCCATCTACAGGAATATTTTCTGCTTACCCCCCCCCCCCCTCTCTTCTTTCCACAATGTGCAGCTGTACTTAGTATCATGTATAGAATACATTCTATTTGCTTTCCATAAAGAAGCTTGAGCAAAAAGATGCTTGCACATACCATGTTTAGAGGTTTTGTTATTATTGTTGTATTGCTCATCTCATTGTATTAACTTCTATATGCCTAAATCTTAATAATACCAGATAATGATTCAAAATATAATTGGAAAGTTTGTAATTGTTATTCTGTTGCTCTATTCAGTTCAACTTAGTATTCTTTGGGCCTAGTGATATGAATAGAAAACATCAAAAATATAGATTGTTTGATCAATAGATTGAGTTATATATGGTCAAACAAAATGTTGGGATGTTCAATGAACAAGATGCTTAAGGACAAGGTTTGTTCTTTTTGACAGCAACAAGCCGTGATTGCCTTGGCTTTGGCTTTGCTTTTCTGAAACAGAAATGGAGATTAATTTGTTTCTATCTAATTGTTCATCCTTTTTGAACTGTAGCCAAGGCGTGGTGCCATAGACCTGTATGCTGCACAGTGTGGTAAGTGCCAAAAGTGGAGATCAATTGCTACAAAGGAAGAGTATGAGGAACTGCGATGTAAGTTTATGGATGACCCATACACCTGTGACAGACAACCAAATGTGACGTGTGATGACCCAGCAGACCTTGAATGTGATGCAACCAGAACTTGGGTTATTGACAAGCCTAATCTTCCAAAGACTCCAGCAGGATTCAAGAGGGAACTCATCCTCAGATCAGATTATTCTAAGTTGGATGCCCATTACCTAACACCAACCGGGAAGAAAGTGAGGTGTCAGGGAGAAGTAGTGCAATTCTTGGAGAAGCATCCAGAATACCAGCACTTAAAGCTGGACGACTTCAACTTTACTGTTCCAAAGATACTGGAGGATACTATTCCTCCTGAGGTGAGGAGGAAGCGTGCGGAAAAATCTGCGAGCAAAAAGGATAATGATTTTGATGGTAAGAGGAAGAATTAATATTTAGTTGGCTAAGTTGTTGACTTTGTTGATGCTCTTCCTGCTTCAACTTTTTATCTATATTTCTCTAAGAACAATGAAAACCTCAGAAGTGTAGGTGGTATCTAGGGTAGTAGAACTTGCTTTTGGAAATGTCTGTAATGAGCCATTTGTAAAATTTGGCCTTAGATGAATCTGTTAAGCTGAATGTTCGAGTTGCTGTGCATGCTTATTATATGTAGCATCAGATTTTTTCCCATATTTGCATTCTGCAACCGCTTGATTCTCGCCGTAATGGATTATTTCTTTTTTTGCCTGCTTGATGTGTATGTTTATCATATTTGACATTTGGAGGCGCGCATTGGGGGCATGCTTGGATTGAGGCCTTGGGGATAAAAATTCAAGTGGTGGATGGGGATAAGTGTATAAAATAAAGAGAAGGGAGAGTGGATAAGGTAGTGTTGGTTAAGAGATGAAAGCTATTCTATATTTGGGGTATCCTATATAGGCTATCTAACTATCTTACCATTGAAGTAGTGGGAAATTAGGTGCAATTCTCCTCCTTTGAACCTAACTAAAATTGTTTAAACCTCATTATATCTTATTTTAGTTGTAAATTAAATTTATATTATTTTAGTTGTAAATTGAATTTAGCAAACCCTTGACCCTTTGAATAACCCTTCTTTATCATTATTAACATCTTTTATACTTTTTAAAATACATACACCCTAATCCAAGCATATATGGATGTGTTATTTTCCTTGTGATGGTTAACCAGTCGAGGTTTTATTATTGTCTTATAGAAGTACTTTTGTTGCCCTTTTTGTTTTCATTTCTGTTTGTCCTATTTAAAATATTTCATTGAGAATATTTCATTTCTGTTCACTTCACTTTAAAAAAATAATATTAAGTAAAAATAATTTCAGTTCAGTAAAAATCGATTCTAATCAGTAAAAATAATTTTAAGTTCAGTAAAAATAATTTCCGTTCAGCAAAAATAATTTCAGTTCAGTAAAAATAATTTTAGTTCAGCAAAATTAATTTAAGTTCATGTACATTGATGCTTTTTTTACTAGGATTTTTTACGTAAATTATTTTTTTCCATATATTGCAAAATATTGTCGTGCAAGATTTATTTATTTATTTTTTAATTTTTTTTTAACTGAACTTAAATTAATTTTGCTGGAATTATTGTCGTATAATTATAAAATATAATATCTTTTTTTTTGTCAAGTATAAAATATTATGTCTTATTGATAATATTTAGTCGGTTATATTTGGTAAATACAAGAACTATATTTTATAAAAGGGTAACAAAATTCATCGTAATAGGATACCTAATCATTTACAATAAATTCAATAAGATATTGAAATATGATATTCATATATGATTATATATACATGATCTATACAATACTATCAATATGTCGTTATATTTTTTTTGCTTAAATATCACATGCCTTGATATGATCAATCAAACTACCAATATTTGCTATCATTATTTGTAAATTCCACGCAGTTAACCAATGTATACGTGCTAAAGTCTTTGGATTTGAGATCATTAACTCAAACTCACTACTTCGAAACTATTTTAACGATCAACTATTTGCAACAAGGTCTATATATTTTAATAGTCTCATATATATATATATAAATATAAATATAAATATATATATATATATATATATATATATATATATATATATATATAGGGGAGGGATTCGGTAAGAACCCCTCCTTATATAAGAACCCTAATTATATAAGAACCAAACTCAACTGTAGGATTAAGTAATTTTGGACGGTTAAGATTAAAACAAGTATCCTTCCTCAAACACCTAACCCACCGTCCTTTCTCTCTCCTCAAACTTTCAAACCTATTGTCTTTCTCTCTCCTCAAATCCCAAATTCGAACACAAATTCCTGCAATTTTTTGTTCAAATTTTACATAAACAACCTAAATTGCTCAAATTAGGTACGTTCTTTTTTCGATTTTGTTCAAATTTTCATGAAAAACGCATGATATTCAAGTAGATTTTTCGATTTTGTTTTTGCGATTTTATTTTTTGCGATTTTTATGATTTGATTTTTGCAATGTGATTTATGCGATTTTAAGGTTTGATTCATGAATTCCGCATGAGACAAGTCGATTTTGCATTTTTCTGATTTGATTTTCATTTATTTTCGGCAATTTAGGGTTCAAAATTCGGCGATTTAAGAGTTCAAACTACAGTGATTTTAAGGCTGGAAATATTAGGTAATTTCAGTGTTACTCTTGATTAGTATTGTTTGATTTTTTTTCGTCATTTTACCATTTTTTGTGCGATTTGTTTGTGGTTTTGTTGGGCGATTTTTGAGCCATTTTTTAAATTGCTGTTGGTTCTTTGTTGGTGCTGAAATCATGTGCTCTTAACTTTCAGTTAGTAAGCTAGTTGACATCTAGGAGTTAGGATGATGGACGGTGGAAATTATGATTTTTGGTAATGTTATGATGGGATTTTTGATTGGTAAAAGTGAGCAACTAAGCACATTGGTTGATGATTATTACTGGGTTTTTTTTAACGCAATTGAGTAAGTCTGATGATTAGGTGAATAGGTATAGAAAGTGGGCTGATGAGTTACAAAAAAAATTGTAAGGAGGGTCTGGGGTTATTTTGGGGTTTGTACTTGGTTGATATAGGGGCAGGTTTCTTGGATGTTATTTCTCCATTATCGTCCTACATCTTCGGTGTTGAAGCACGTTTTTGTTTAATGCAATGGTTTTGCTGTCTTATGTGTGGTGCTGGTTTGATGATTTTTATTGGTTTCTAGTCAATCAAATTGGGGAAAATAGAAAAAGAAAATGTCAAGATGGAGGCTTTAGGATGAAATTTGACTTAATTCTGGCAGTAGAGGAGGGATGTAAGGGTGTTTAGCTTTTGACCTTTCTGTGGTCTTAAGGTCTGTTTTATGAGATGGATTCTTCAGGTTGAATAAATAGGTTGAGTGAATACCTAAATGCAAGTGAGCTTTGCTATTTGAAGGGCACATTTTTGTAATTAAGTGCAGTGTAATAGTTGTACTTTGTAAACTACATGTTAAATTGGTTCAAATGTTCCTAAACGATGAGTCTACTTATATGGTTCCCTAATCGGAGAGAAAAAGGAAATACATTTGCTGTCCTAGTGCTCATATGATTTCAGCAGTCTGTTTGGGTTTCTCTAATGTTGGAACTACAATAGTATAATGTACGGATTATTAATTATTCTAGGAAAACTCCCATTATACTAGTAATATAGCATTATCTTTCTTACCATATTAGGCATATTCCCTGTATGTTTCAAATCTTGCAAAAAAACATTTGTTTAACAAATGCTAAAATATTATCACTTTGTAAATATACTTCCAAGTTTGTAGTTCGTAGTTAAATTAAACTTTATTAGGTAATCTAACACTATTTATATACAAAGACATCCTTGATTATAGTAAAATAAACTTTAGAACATAAGTAGACTAAATTTAAAACATAGGGAAAAAAAAATTTAGAACATAGGTAAAAGAATATTTAGAACATAGGAAAAAAAAAACTTTAGAACATAGGTAGTAAAAATTTAGAACATAGGAAAGAAAAAAAAACTTTAGAACATAAGTAGACTAAATTTAGAATATAGACAAAAGAATTTAGAACATAGGTAAAAGAATATTTAGAACATAGGAAAAAAAAAACTTTAGAACATAGGTAGAAAAAATTTAGAACATAGGAAAAAAAAATTTAGAACATAGGTAGAAAAAACTTTATAACATAGGTGTAGAATATACGAACAACTTTAGAACATAGGAAAAATTTGGAACATAAAAAAATGATTTGCAACATAGTAAAAATTTAGAACATAGGAAATTAGAACATTGGGAAAAAAAATTAGATCATAGGAAAAAAAATTGGAAATTTAGAATATTGGGAAAAAAAATAAGAGCATAGAAAATAAGTTTAGAACATATACTAAAAATTTAGAACATAGGGTGAAAAAATTTAGAACATAAGGTGAAAAAATTTAGAGCATAGATAGAAAAAATTTAGAACGCAAGGAAAAAAAATTAGAAAATAGGTAGAAAAATTTTTGAACATAGGGGATAAAATTTAGAGCACACGGAAAATATTTAGAGCATACGGAAAAAATTTAGAACATAGGAAATAAATTTAGAACATAGACAAAAAAATTTGAATATAGGATATATATTTAGAACATGGACAGAAAACTTTAGAACATAAACAATAAAATGTAGAACATAGGAAAATAGTTTAGGACATACATATATTTAGAGCTTAGATTGAAAAATTTAGAGCTTAAGCAATAAATTTTAGAACATATGCAAATAATATTTAGAACATATGATAAAACCTATTAGCTCAATTGGAAGAGCACTATGCAAATGCATAGAGGATGTAGGTTCAACTCCTACATAGGTTATCTTTATAAATAACTAAAAAACTACAAATGTTTTCTTTTTGAAAAAAAAATCCAATAAAACTAATTAAATTAGTACTAAGTTATATGAGCAGAAAATAAGTAGACTAAATTTAGAACATAGGAAAAAAAAACTTTAGAACATAAGTAGACTAAATTTAGAACATAGGAAAAAAAAAACTTTAGAACATAATTAGACTAAATTTAGAACATAGAAAAAAAAAATTTAAAACATAGGTAAAAGAATATTTAGAACATAGGAAAAAAAAAAACTTTAGAACATAGGTAGTAAAAATTTAGAACATAGGAAAAAAAAAACTTTAGAACATAAGTAGACTGAATTTAGAACATAGGCAAAAGGTAAAAGAATATTTAGAACATAGGAAAATAAAAGTTTAGAACATAGGTAGAAAAAATTTAGAACATAGGAAACAAAACTTTAGAACATAAGTAGACTAAATTTAGAACATAGGAAAAAAAATTAGAACATAAATATACTAAATTTAGAACATAGAAGTAGGCAAAAAAAATTAGAATATAAAAGAAGAATTATAGAAATGCCATTACTAAAGGATCATTTTAGATGGTTGGATCAAAACTAATAAACGGCTGAGATTGGTTCTTATATAGAGGAGGGTTCTTACATGAGCATTCCTATATATATATATATATATATATATATATATATATATATATATATATATATATATATATATATATATATATATATATATATATATATATTCATGCGTGTCAGAGTTGATATATTTAATTTGACAATCATATACGTTATCGTTATAGGCTAACCATTTTTATATACGATAATTCTTTGC